AACTGTTGTCTCAGAACACGCGACCAATGAGGGCGCGTTGTACCTGAAGAGGTCAATGATGGAGAGGCTGCACGAAGCAGGCTACCCCTGCACTATGCTGTTGACCAACTACCGCAGCCACAGCCACATCTTCGACATCTTCAACCGGTTAATCTACAAGGGTGCGTTGAGGTTGGGTCCCAACAATGACAGCGAACAGCGCGTCGGGAAGGTCTGGGATGCCTTCACCCGCTCTCATCACCACTTCTGCGGTTACGGTGTGGTGGGAGTTCGCCGCCTTTTCATCAGTGTGATAGGGGAGGCCGTTCGTGCTGAGGGTAGCCAGTCGTGGTCCAACCAGTCGCAGGGTATGGTCGCTGTGCATCTTCTCAAAAACCTGTACGCCTATCGGACGAGTGATGGTCAATCCATTCGTCCAGAAGATGTTATGGTGATCTCTCCGTATGCGGCGCAGCGAGCTTTGGTCGGAAGGCTCATGGGCGAGCACGGGGTAAGCTGCCGGGACAATCTTACTGTGGATGCATCGCAGGGTCAAGAAGCTCCCATGGTAATCTTCATGCTGACGAAGCCGTCGAGGGACGCCGCCAGTGTTGGTTTTATTGCCGACCAGCAACGGCTCAATGTTGCACTGAGCCGTGCACGCGAAGTCCTCGTCATTGTCGGGAATCTCCTTGTCTGGAATAGAGAGACCCTTGACAAGATCGAAAAGTCTCTTGGCAAGAAGGCCAGGTTCCTCCTTAATCTTCTTTTTGACGTGAGCAAGCGTAATCACACCATGGTGTGGAAAGGTGAAGCCACGGTCGAAGATAAGAAACCTGTCGGGCCAGTGGAATACAAGTGCCCTGACCGATTTGTTCCGCCATTTTACGAGACGGCCGCCGTCCCCTCCGCCCCCGTTTCCTCCGCACTCCTCCCCGCTCGCACCCCTCAGCGCCCCGCCCAAGCGTCCGGTGGGTCCTTCTCTGCGGCGCCCTGGAGGCCGTCTGCTAGATCTGTTCTTGGAGTCGAGGGACGAGAAACATTATCTCGACCGACGCCACGGGTAAACATGCCCGTTGGTTCGTCGTGGCAGGCACCTGTCGTTCGTCTGCCAACGTCCACAAGCCAATCAAGGGACATCGAGGAAGATGTCAGCATGGTGGACATTGAGAAACCCGAGGGCCGAGATCTCGTACAGCAAACCGGCAGTCCGCCCTCTCCTGTCCTCCCTCCCCGGCATGCTCGCCAAAGGTCCCGCTCTCCCCCTCATCGCGAGGCGACGTATCGTGAAGCGACGTATCGCGAGCGGCCTCGCTCCCCTTCGCGCGCCATCGACAACCGACTCCTTACACGGGGTGGTCTGCCTCAGGTCAGTCTAGTTCCTCGAGACAATTTCGACTCAATACCAGTCGAGGAACTGGAGAGACAGTTTAGGCTTAGCCGCGCCGCTGAAGAAATGGCTGCTGCAACCCTCCGGCGTACGTTGATTGAGGAGGAGCTCCGTGTGAGGGGCGACTGGGATAGTCGCAACAGAGACGACCAACGAGATGGTCGGTAGGAAAGATATTTCGCCTAGAATGTCAATACCCTTTCTTCTCTTGTTCTACAACTATTTGTTCCACAAATGTAATCCATGCTATGCGTAACGTAAGGTAGCATAATGTAGGCGTATAATAATAGACTAATCCCACAATTGAGTTCAATTCAATTCAATCATATTCTTATACCTGATCGAGCCCGTTAAATAAGATCCTAGCTATGCAGGTGCTTCACCTTTTGAAGCAGGAATATGTCCCCGAACGCCGTCAAATCCCTTAAAATGGCGTAAACACATGAGACAACGCATGCTACCACGGAAGGTCATCGTCGTAGCTACACACAACCAAACAACAAAAAGCTACGCAAGTCATAATAATAAAAAGATATATAGGAGTGTCGCAACTGGCTGACCAGTTGCCTGCGAGCCCATCCTCTCCAATCTTCGTCCATGTTCTTGCTTCTTTCTTTTGATGTGTGGCTCTTTTCCTGGGTGACTCAATCCGGGGCATGTATGGCTCCGCCTACCCAGCGTCTTCAGTATTTATTTCCATGGTTCTAAGACCTACATGTTCCTGGCTTTGGTCGGGGTCTGCTTCAGGATCAGGGTTGAATTTGACCTGGCTGAATTGCCCGAGAAAGCCTGTTTGCAGCATGAATTTGGCTACTTAGCGGATTGCCTGCGGGCCTGATATGAGCGAGTTATAATCAGTAGCAGCGCCCAGATTCGTGTATGCGGTGTTCTTATCAAACATTTGATCAAATAGCTTTTTAAAGTGGGAGTATGCTAGAAGGACATGCTTAGGGTCTGTGATATCTCCCCGCAGCTGCACTGATCACTCTCTTTTGCCTTGATTTTGTGGAGCGCGCGAGGCTGATCCTCTGTGTACGCATCTATATGATCACGGACGCATATGCCTTTGGCAGACCCTCGTATCTTGCGAAGTTCTTCTTAGTTGGGGCCTTGACCAAGCGCCTCGTAGGCGCAGCTGTACGCCCTGTCTTCCATTGCCTGGTCCACCCCTCGAAACTTGGATTAATCCCCCCTCACCCAGTTTCCATCTCCTCTGCATCAGTTTAGTTGCGTCTAATCCCTAGATTACGAACAACCCACTTCAGTGTCGAAGACTAGATGAAAGCGAAACAGAAATGAAGCGAACTGGAATATACAATAGGTCTAGGGAGAATTGTTACGAACGCAAAAGCGAAGTCAGAGGCCTAGTGGTAGAGTAAAAAGGGGGGAGTAGAATGATCCCTTCCGATAATCGGTCAATTTCGTACGGTCTATAGTTCATGTTGCTTTGCCACCTCCTGCTTAATAATGTACTGCCGCACCGAATCAGGCCTCGATTGCATATAGACCAGGGACTCGTGCCGCAGGTTCTCGGAGTGAATATCAAATTCTCTGTGGTAAATAGCGTGCTCAACTAGCCTTTCGGCTTCGGATACTCAGGTCTGACCAAGACATGGCCCCGTCCCGTGTCCTCCCCCATTATCTGATTAACCATGAACATATCCAGCGAAATGACTTAGGACTGTATATATCGCCGCAGGCTGTGTCGCTTCTAGTTGCTATATACTCTGTTAATCTCCGTTTTGATTATCCTGAAGCTCTCTTGACTATATCGGGTTTTCGGGATCCAGAAACACAAGATGGTCTTCAGAAAATTATATCCTTTCCCGGACCGGCCACTCTAATAGCTCCCATCTCCAGCATTAGATAAAAATCCGCTAGCCTTGTGGGGAAGCTGAAGTTGACGAACGGGTCACGCCCTCACCACTCCATGCAGGAGGTGAGGAAAAGAAGAAGGACAATAACGCCTCCCACCACTTACAACGGATTGTATGGAGTTTGGATGCACTCTGTGTGTAACTACTTGATAAGGTACATGTGCACTATTATTTATTGAAACAGCAGTTCTGAACTAAGGGGGCCTTTTGCATTGGGCACATTGATTCAGGCCAACTGATTTCGTAGTCAAGGGCTTCTAGGAAGAGGCTCTATATAAGGAATTTATTGTTTTTTCTGACCTCTTCGCCCCGATCTTGAACGTCTTGTCGATTTGATGATAGCATACATGGTACTATTCTCTGCCCCTTCGGTAGCTTCTAGATCTGATCTTTGTAACTCATCTGACGTAGTAAATTTACTAGCACGGCCTTAAAAAAGCTTCTGGCCTTCGCAAAAGGTGCGATACATTTCTCCTTTTCATCATCCTGGCCCTCTTTCCGCAACTCGTGATCTCTAGAATATCCCGTCTTGTTCTTCATTGTGAAGCAAGCAACCATAAGCTTCTTCCCAATTTTCTTGCACGTTCTTACTTAGGTCCATGCAATCTAGGCATAGACCATCGAATCGTGCACAGATTCGTACGATCCAGGCACAGACCATCAAAGTCCTCAATCACCCTTCTTCCTGTTTGCCAAATAGCCATCCCTAAGCTTGTTGAAATTATGCCCCAACGATCTCTCCGTTGAGGCCCCTGTCTTGCTGCCAGATTTGTAACGAAGATTTGAGAGTACTATTACCGTATTGTTGATCTGGTATATAGATAGAAAGATAGATCTATGTAGTATTTAGCGCAGGCGACCGCGATCGGCATTCAGTTGCTGAATGACACAGGGTGGCAGATGCATTTGTCTAACATCGCCGGGGTAAAGTTCGGTATTGTGGCCAACGCAGCCATACACCAGCTTTTTCGTGACCATTTGATATCCCTCGGCGCAGTCAAAGTCTGTCAAGTATATACATCTGAGCCTTCATTCTTTCAAGCTATCCTCCAGGAATTATCATCGCTTTGAAGTAATCACTGCTGTTGAGCAGTTTGCCACGCTGAACTTTCTTCATCCTGGGCCATAGTCCACAAAGTAACGTGGCTCGGAGACAATGTTGAATTTTACTAGCTTAACTCGCTGTAGAGTTCAGTGTAGCTCTTTTCCACTCATTGCTCCTGTTCTTATCGTCAGTGTCGCTTTTCTAGGAGACCATATTCCATTTATTGGTGATGATGCCAATGTCGTTTGGAAACCTGCTCTCATTTTCACAACCGACCGATATATTCCAGATGAGTAAGAAACATAAAAAGTCCGTTTGACTCTTTCGACCAGATATGACTGAAATTCCTAACTCTTTTAAGATGAAAGAGACCTCATCAAGACATGGAGAAATTCCATGCGCGATCCATTAGGAGAAAAGTAAACCATAAGTACCATATTAAATGGACACAACCAATGTAACAATTTAGAGTCTAATCTCCGATCAAACCTCGCTTTTCCCCACTTCCCATGAAGCCGAAGTACCAAGTTGGTTCGCCGTGTCTGATCCGGTAACCAATATCCCATTTTTCGAAATTCTTGTGATGCTAATACTTAGAATAATGATTGCCATCGTACCATAAGCCCTTGCTTATGTCCATGCAGTCATGGTATAAGCGATCGAAATAGCATGACACTGTGTCCACAACTGTATGTACCGTTTCCCCAAGTTATGCCATTAATGCCCATTTTTTCGTAGTCAAAGTCGGACATTTTTGACTCTTCCGTTCACACTGGCATTTCTTTATTAATCTTGTAAGAAACATACCTTCATTCTGTGCAGTTGCCGTTGGTATTCGAAAGTTGTAAGTTCCTTACAGGAATATTTCCCTGGCTCGATGACCACCCAATGGTGGTCGAATAAAGATTTGCTAAATATTCCCACGGGTTCTATATCAAAGCTCTTCTTAGGCCTTATCTTAAGCCTTAAAAATCCCCAGATTACCAGAGATATGCAACCACGTCGCTCCCTTCAGCGAAGCTAACATTAAAAGGCCCGATGGCCTTTTGGATTATGTACAAGGTACATAAAACGTGGGTCCCTTCAGAATGACCCAAATAAACCTAGAAAAATAGGCAGCTGCCTGTCTGCTTGAAGTGTGAGCACAAATGCTCGACATAAAAGCATTTATATCATGTTGACTCGAAAATCCATTTTCGATCCTGATTGAATGGCTCGCATACCTTTCGATGCGACTATATCCTTGCCCATCGAAATTCTGGTTGAAACAGTGTCGTTATTCGTGGGCTCTAGGGGCCATACCCCGATTCTGCCCAGCTCCCGCTCATTTTCGAATTTCATGGTGTCTTCTAGGGGCCAGACTTCAATTCTGGCCCGTTCGCGCGTATATTCGCAGCTATTGGTGTCTTCGAGTGGCTAGACTTCGACCCTGCCTAGCTCCCTTGAATCTTTGGAGCCGCATATTGCCTTGTATCGATAATTATCACGAGTAGCACATATAAGCACTTGTGCAAAACATTCCTCAGGCGTCCGCGTGCTGCATTGGCAGTATGGGCCCCTATTTAAAGCACGTATAAGCGACGTCAAACTCTGACGCGCAGCATGCATTGCATATGCATGTTTATAGATTATTAATATAAGTAAAGCTCTGTCTAATAATTCCTATTTGGCTGATGCGAGGAGCCGAACAGGGCAGTCCCGCGCTGGACTAGGTTTCACTTGATGCTTAGACTAAAAGGATGCTCTTTCTTTGCGTACTGTATGAGTAATGATTTATGTATAACCTATTAACCGTAGAGAATAATAAAATTATAATCATAGTCAACTGATGTAAGCTTTGATGCTTGTCTTATGAGGAAATATATGCAGAAGAGATAGCTGAGAGAGGGGAGAAAGTCGACGCTTTTATAGACCTGTCCTGGAATGATATTGTGAATATAGCATCAAGAATGATCGACCTAGTGAAGTCGTGGAGGTAATACACCGACAACCTAGCTATCAATGACGGTGGTTTACATGGTGAGAGCTATCAAAGAAGTCACCGCAGGTGAATCACGTAGAGGGAATACTAAGCTAATGATGATATGGTGCGAATTAAAGTTTATCTTTGATGCAAATGTGACGACATTGAGCAGGCAAAGGGGAGGCGAAGAGTTTTGAAAGCTTCAACATATTCCGAACTTGGAGGTAGCGCGATACGCACTTCAGTCCATTCAAAGCTTGGGGTTATGATCGGTGTTCCCATCACAGTTAGACGTTGGCCTATAAGAGGTTATCGATGCTTACCGCACTTGGACCAGATTTGACCCGGTGCCTAATGTATCACAACGTCTCGGTCTTATTATTGCATGGCCTCGGATTCATAACCCATGGGAGAACCAATCTGGGAACCGCACTCCAGGGGCTTTCTAACCTAACGCCTTTCCTAAACTATAAACTATCCATTTTACCGCGGAATGTATTGGGTTTGGCACCATTTCCTACGAAACTGGGGATAAGAAACCAGCCAGGTCGATGAACAGTATCGGCTAGTAGCTTATAATACGGGTGCGCTCAGTATTCCTAGGGCTATATCGAATGGATACTTGGGGCAGATAAAAATATACAACTGGATCTCGTGGACTATTGCTTTATCCCGTTACATAATCAAGAAAATAGCTGATAAACGCTCCTGAACTGGGCCTTTCACTTATACTCTTGATCGAAGTGAGGGTGTAGGTGAATAGGTCAGTTGACATTCATCTTGATCGTCTTCATATTGAAGTAGACAGACTACAGCCCGTCGGCCTTTCCACGCACCCAGTGAAGTTCATTGCCCTGTTGTATTGAGAGATGGCTCATAGTGATTGCACTACCATCCGATGATGGTTCCTTTCTCAAGCTTCCCTCCTTTCCCAGCAGATTGCTAAGGGTTGTTAAAAGCCACAGCATAGTATAAGCCAGGCCAAACTATGACCTGCATGGAATGGCCACCTCGTTGAGAACCAGTGAAGCATTAGAATAACTGACCCAAGTGCTAGCAGTCTAAGATGCGTGCATAATTCGCTACCCCCGGGACTACAGGCGCAGATATTTTGCGTCGGTCGAGGGCACTAGCTCGACGAAGGGAAGATGTCCTAGAAGATGTTGTAGTAAAATTCTAGAGCTATCATGTCATTTGGTCATATGCAGGTCGAGGGGCTATATAGACGTTTCCAAACCTATAGTGAGATTGAAGATCGCGCGCTGCTTGGAGACAGGGGCAGATTCCGTACACTGGATAGATATATTCCCCTTATTTCGCGGTCCTGACGAATAATCCAAGACACAGATGAAGCTTCTACGCGCTAAGATGTCCAAAAAGCCACAATTATTCTTATGATTTACAAGGATGATGGTAGAGAAGGGCTTAAACAATGTGCTCTGCGGGGTTTCCGTTTCCTCCGCTTCTACTAGAACAAGTCTTGAGCGAGAACCATAATTGGATCCGGAGCGTATAGTCGAGAATGATCTGCAAAGATGAGTCCTGTCAGACACCCATGGCAAGACCTGCACGCTCCACAGGCTAAATTAGTACCCGTGGGCTTAGTTGGAGCGGAATCAGGCTAAGGTTGAAGTCAGCGAATGATATTAGACAATCTGTAGTTATCCTGCACCCTCGGTATATTAGCTGCTTTCAATGCCCATGAAGATCGATTGACACCATGCATTATGGTTGTATGTTATTCTGGTCACAATACGATACTCCTCCCCAATCCAGACAAGTGAGTTCCTGCCTTGTATTTGAGGAGAGCAGGAGAGCACGTGTCGTGTCCCTTGCCGAATATGGCAATGGGGCAGCAAACCAGACATACGCCTTCTCGCTTACAACTTCTCCTTGGCCACGTTCCCCATCTACTTCCTGTGTTTCTCTTGTCTCTCTCCTTCCCACTTCTCTGTTGAGCATCGCGTCTTCGATTCTGATTTTGTTCCCCCTACTGCTCCCTTATGCTGTGTCTTAGTAAGAAGCCGACTAACTTGGTTTATAGGTTTGACCCTCGTCTCAGAGGGGTATTCTCTCCCGGTTTCGCGTGTTGATTAGACAACCGTGGAATTCGGGATCACAATCAGAGCATGACTGTTCGCGACACAGTCTTGCTTCTCGTGAGCGTTGGTCGATTCGGCTGCTTCGGTTATGGAGGTACGTGACACAAGCAGTTTCTTCCAAGCTTTTCAAGAGCTCATCTGGCTAACGGTACGTTTAAGCTGCATCTCGCCGAGAGTGCAGTGTATTTGAGCGAAGTTTAGTGAGCATTCCTGTCCTGTCCGATGCTTCCATCGTCTTGCCAACCAGAGTATCAGGCTCTCTTCGAGAGTTCTACTTCGTTACTTTCCCTGTGTATGTTTACGAGCCTCCAGTGGCTAAGGGTAGATGGCATCAACTGACAGGCGCTAGCGGCCTCTCTTCAAGAGTACGATCTATTTTTCCGAACGTCTATAGAGGGTGCCTGTTCAGGCTCTCTCTTCGAGGGTCCTGTCTTCTTTAGTCCCAGACGCCTGGTGAGCACTTTCTCTTCAAACATTATTTTATATCAACCTGCTGACATGGCTATCAGCCGCTATCCTCTTCGAGGGTGCGGTGTATCTATTCGACCGTCTGTAGAGGGGCTCGCGCAAGCGCTCTTCGAGCGTCTTGTCTTTTCCTTTTGTTCTTTAGTCCCAGACGTTTGGTGAGCACTTCGTCTCCAAGATTATGTTATATTAACCTGCTGACAAGAGTACTAGCCGCTATCCTTTCGAGGGTGCGGTATATCTCAGCAGATATCGGTGAGTACACATATCCTTTTGCAAGGAAACAATAAAAGAAGAAATTCAATTAAACTTACTAACGATAATGCCAGTGTCTCTCTTCGAGAGTTCGATGGTCTGCTGGACCTTGTTGTAAGTGCTTCTGTCTTTCAGATTTACTCAGAACTTGGCTAACATGGACCCCAGCCAGCTCTCTTAGAGAGTCTGGTCGCGTTATCCCAGCCGCTATCTCCTTCAGGGTTGCGGGTTATCTTAGCAGATGTCGGTGAGTACACTAGCCTATTTCCAAGCATCATGCCATGTCAACATACTGATGATAATATCAGTGTCTCTCTTCGAGGGTCTGGTCTCCAACCCCTTGCCGTGTCTCCTCGAGAGTCCGGCCTGCTTCTTGTGTGCGCTTGTGTAAGTATCCATCCCTCTCACTAAAAATTGGTTGGGGCATCTTGCTGATTTTGGCAGGCCGGCTCTCTTCGAGAGTTCCGGTTGGTTATATTCTCTATCGACCGGTAGGTTTTCTATCACAAACTATACTTCTCAGCCACACATGGCACCTAACCATTGGCTGCTACAGACTGAATCCACCGCCTCCTTCTGTCTCCGTCTCTCCACCTGTCAGACAGTACGCATCTTGGGCACATGTTCAGGGCAGCGGAGCCGCACGACAATCCAATCTTCGACTCGACACACATCATATGATGTGGCCTGCTATGATAGCTGACCAGCTACTTCACCGTTTGAAGCAAGAATATGGCCCTGTACGCTGTCAAGTCCCTTGAGGCTCGCTAAATAAAAGTGTGATGCAACACAGGGCCGCATGTATATGGATAGTCGATACCGCAGCTAAACACACAATTAATAGAGATAAGCGAATGTGACAACTGACTTGTCAATTTCAGTCAGTCACCAGCCTCTGTCTTGGTTGTTTAGCCACCTTCAGTTTTTTACTCGCGGCTGTAGATATAATATGTGTAACCTTCCCTACGATGACGACCGGGTTGTTCCCAACTGCCAGAGCGCCATAGGGGCAACTCATATCATTTTGGTCATATTGACTACTTCAAGCGAAAGCGCTCGAAACTCAGCAAATTGAGAGCCGTCACTCAAAGCGACTCCAATGCCGATGTTGTCATCCAAATTACAGACGCGATCCCAAACGTGCGGCAAAAGAGGTTAGACATGGGCACATTTTATGATCGCTAACTAAGTTTTCATTAACGCCCAAATAATGACAATTACCGAGGTAAGTTTGGTCGTTGTCATTAACAATTCGCAAGGCAAAAAGAGCCAAGAGTTCTCACTAAGGCGCACTCTCTTGACACATGGAACCGAGCTAGAGGTTGGCAACCAAGGCCACTTTTCCCTTGACACCTGGAAAATGTCCACTCTGTTACCGGACCTTCAGCAAAAGACAACCTATCTCGGCCACCTTCCCACTTGACGATTCTCAGCGAATTCCTTTTATTGCTTCGTTGATAAAGGTTGTCTGCGGTGTTAGCCTGATGATAGTTCTCCGTGACTGAACAAAACCAGTATAGCCAAGGCTATCGTCTGCGCAGCGGCGGCTCTTGGTTGCAAGACTCTTCTGAATACTGGGTCCAACAGGGGACGTTGACAAACTTGCCGAAGCAGTGATGAAAGACCTATGGGAACGAGCGACTACGAGGCTGATGTAGCCGACTCGTCCGGTTTCGCACGCCGCGATACAAGCTCGATAGGGCAAAGAGCATACTATCACCGACAAGTACGCTGACTTGCAGCAAACAAGCAAAGAATGCTGAGACAAGGAGAACCAGAAAGGCATCAAGAGGGACTACGAACGGTGTGTCATTGGTGCCTCGGACAGAAAAATTTATCGACTCGATGCTCGGGATCGTGTCTCAGAATCTTCTGCGACGTTCACCTTTCGAGCCTAGTGTGCTGGCTTTAGTTGCGGACACTCTCTCCGTCTTGTACTTCTCAAGACGAATGAAATGATACTTCTTTGCATTCTACATATTCACTTACTCTACTCATTAAATTCATACAAATACTTTCGCTTCGTGCAGCCCCTTGCCGAGAATAAAATAAGGTATTCCCGACATGGCAGGCCAATGTCGGGAAGGCAAATTTACCATCATCTTATCATTGCTAAAGATTAGGGAACTCCTCTAACAGCCTCGTGGGATTTATGCCCATCGCAGGGGCTCGAGGACCATAAAGTGTCTCTGAGAGCAAAACGACCGAAATTGCGCCGGATACAACAAAGAACGCTGCCTGGCATTTTTGCAGTCCGTGCACTCTCTGCCCAGCGGAAGTGCAGCTGTTTCCGAACATTTCGGCCATTCCTTTTGCCAATTTTCCTCTAGAAGAAAACGAGGCATCTTGGCGAGAACTTCAGCTTCAGATCTGGTATTTGGAGTTGAATAATCTGTCACAGATTCGAATTGAAGACATCGAGGGAGCTAACAGTACAATACTAGGTTTCCGAGGCCATTGATACCAGGATAGCAGGGACATGGACGATAATGCGGCACTGTCACATATTACGCTATTTTGTTGTCCTCCATTCAGAAGTAAAACATTTCACCTGGCCAGGACCAAGTATGGAAAACTGACGGGAGGCAAAGGCATGTTATTTTAACATGGGCTGGGGCTATAATTTTTCAATCAAAAGGGAATGGCAGACTGCGCCTTTGAATATCTCGGGAGAGAGTGGCTCGGAGGAAAGTGGTTCGGAGGAATTGGTCGAGAATTGTAAATCTTACAGCCACTCGGAGAAGATTGGTACACAGTTCTTTATATCTTCCAAGTGTCACCAAAGCGCTATCTCCATCTGCACCGGAATTATCTTCTTCCTTTCCTCTAAGCCTGTCATCGCAAGACCTTGAACGATCGACCGATTATTTGAGTACATTCCAATTTCTACTTCTTTCGGGTCTCAGGACCCAACCACAACTATTTCACAATGGCTACCACCGGTAGATCCGTCACATAGTAATGATTATGCCCACACATATTGCCATCTATCTAGGGGCATTATAGCAATTCAGACTTGTTGATATCCTATTGGTGCACCCAATGATCCACTAGCAGTATTTCTGGCTCTTCCGACTAAACCCCCTATTTCTACTATGTTGAACAGATTCCCAGGGGACTTCTCCTTCACCCCTTTTCCCAACCCGAGAATATCCAGCATCCTGGCGTCAGGGAGACGTATAATCTCACCTGCTCGGGTCTAAATGTTAACTCCCACTGCAAGACATGATAATTTGCGATACTTTCAGGGCTCACATTCCAGAATCTTCCGTCTTCCATGTTTTGCTTGAATCAATCAGTGCCATTTAATTCTACAGACTAGACGACCTAGCCTCCTCATCGGAAACAGCAGCCTGGGGCTTCGGCTTGACACTCCTCCAGCGGATCCCGAGTGAAAGAAGGAAAGCAACGGCGGCAACACTGGTTGCGACGTAGAATGTACTGGTGATCGCGTAGTTGTATGCATCTAATACGCCTGGAAGGTGCGCCCCGGAAACCACGCTCCTCGCTTCGGCGGAGCCTGCCCTGAGAATGTTCTCTATCTCGTGGCCATTAAATCCCCGACTGTCCAGTCGCGAGACAAGTTTGTTCTCGAAGATAGCCTCCGCGATCGCGAGGTTCACGGAAGCCCCGAAGAATTGGAAGCATTGCAGTAATGATGTACCGACGGGGACATCTTCGGGTTTGAGGACTGCTTGTGTCGCAACATAGGGCATTGAGAGGGTCATTCCCACACCAAGCCCTTGAAGGACTTGGAATGGGATCCACTGCTGGTGTGGAGTTCTTTGAGAAAAGGTAGAGAACAGTCCCGTTGCTATGCTCATCAGGCCCGTTCCAAGGAGCATGTATGGATTTGGGTATCCAAGATACTTAAGTGAGGCGCCTGTCAAGGTTGCAGAGAAAACATCTGACAGCGCTAGAGGGAGGTACATGACTCCAGATTTCGTGGGCGAGGCGTTTTTGATGACCTGGAACCATTCTGGAAGGTAGTATATCGAAATGTAAACGGCACCCATGGCGAAAAACTCGCTGAAACAGGAGAAGAGCATCATACGCTCAGTCATCAGACGCGGTGGAATCATGGCATTGTCGCCCTTTCGTATCTGCCAGAGGGCAAAGATAAGACCGACAAACGCACCTCCAATGAAGAGACCAATTATAGTAGCACTCTTCCAAGCGTGTTCGGTCCCTCCCCATTGAAGAGCCAAAAATATCATGATGATGGCCAGAGCAAATAGAAAAGCGCCCAGGAAGTCCAACTTTTCCAGTCTGCGAAGAACCGACGGAACTTTCGTCCTGTCGCGCGGAGGCGGTTTGAAGAAGAAGACCAGTGAGAAAATGGTGATAGCACCAATGGGGAGATTAATCCAGAAACACCACCTCCAGGTCGCATGCTCCGTGAGCGCACCGCCTAATACGGGTCCAATGATAGTGGCAATGCCAAAGGTTGACTGAAGGATTCCAATATATAAGGGTCGCTTGACCAGCGGGATGGAAACGGCGACAATACAGAAGGCCCCTGTAAAGCATCCTGCTGCCCCAATTCCGGTTATAGCACGCCCGATGATGAGCATAGGACTGTTGACTGCAAGGGCGCAGAGCAATGAGCCAAGCTCGAAGACGACAAGACATCCGAGGAACATGCCCTAATATTGTTAAAAGGCTTTTCATCTACTACTGGAAATTTTGGTTACACTCACTTTCATCTCAAAGCTTCCAAATAGTTTACCTGCCATAGGCTGCAAGGCGCACATCGCAAAGGAGTATGCACTTCCATACCAGGCAATATCACCGGTGCTGTTGAATTGTGACGTGATCCGGGGAATAGCCGTGGCAATGATGGACGAGTCCAGTGACATGAGAAATATAGAAAGACCAAGTCCAGTGATGACCAGCAATAGTGGAATTCCAGTCAGCTCATAGTCGCTCGCATCGTCTGCTCGAGAGTTGCTGCCGCCAGATGACAGGCTGTTCGCCTGGGGGGTGCGTAGATCCTCGACTGGAATTTTCTCAGCCATTTGCTGTGGAAGTCGAGATGGCGATATGGGCACATGAATATTGGAGGCAACAACGTTATATACTAAGTGGACTATAAAATTGATGTATGCTCCCCCTCCCAAAGTCAACCCGTTTTGAGATTAGCGCAAGTGAATCAGCGTGACTCATGATGGTTCAGGAATGCCTCATCATTGGTAACCTCCGAGAGGAATAAACGAATGCGAATAAGCGCATTATTCAAATTCGCATTCATGTTATTCCGATAATTCTGATTTCACGCATTGATCGTTTTTTCATTCTACCCCTTATCGTATTACCAAAATACCTGTTCGGCTAGTTTTCAAATTTCGAAAGCGGAATTACCATCGCAGTCTCGGCGCAGCAGAAGAATATTATATTTCCCGTGCAAACTACGCTACTAACATAATATATCTTATATTGTAGGACTCAATAAGATCTACGTACTTTGTGGGATTATTTTTTAGCGATTTCATATAGGGCGAATGATTAATCCCGGTGACACGGAAGGTTTTTTCCTACAGAAATTTGGGGAAATTATACATCTCTACATATCGTTTTTCTGCCTCTTTGCTGCTCCAATTAAACCGACCACCATAATTTCCTTATTCTCACCCGATCTACTTTATATTTCCAACTTTGATATGATTGTGACCATTGACATATAAAACGCGTCTAGCTCCCAACTCAAAGTCACCTACAACCCTGGTCACGGTTTCTTTGCCATGAAACCAGTGAGACGCGCCGTAGATAAGAGCTAAATCTATCAAATTGCCACTTTAATGGGACTGCGCCAGGAGATGACCCGTGTGATAACATAGCTTAACTTACTCCATAATTGTTTCATCCTCGATATCCACTCATAGCTTGCGAGAATATCAAGCATTGTTGAGTGATACTCCCATGAATGTCCATGACTATGTGAAGGACGCTGCAAAGAATATCTGGCCCAGAGGACGCTTTTGTATCCGGCATTGATATGTATCTAGACTCACCACCTGTGAGTTGGTCCCACCATATAATTGGAGATGTAGACGTGTCGGTTTCGGTCTACAATGCGTGGCGGACATTGACGCAAAGGGGGTTATCATATTGGGAAGATAAAGTAGAGAAATCTATTTTTTCCTTAGAAATGTGATACCTGCGAGTATGAATTGCATCGCGGCCTGGAGGCCTGATCCGTCGAACGAAATCTGATCTCTATTTTCCTCTCTATGGCTTCGAAAACACCCTTCAGATGCTTTTGTATCCTTCAAATCGCTAACTTTGGTTTAATGCACGGAAGGGATCACCACATATCAAAGCACAGGCCAAATACAAGGGAAGTCATCGTCAGCATGACTCGCTATGAATCTAGCGAGGCCTAAGCCTGAGAAGAGAACAATATGCCAAACATCATCATGAGCCATTTCGAGTAATACAAAGTCAACCGTGATTCATGTTCCCAGTCACACTTACCACCAGTGCTACTTTAACTCGGAAACCCAACATGACCAGAAAACCCCGAACCATATAAACTGCCAGAGGGACGGTTGCTTTGCACTCATCATAACCTATCGAACAACGCACAATACTTCCAGACGGCATGAATATGGAATCACCTTATGCGCCCGCTTGGAACGAGGTAAGCGGTGACCAAATTTTACGGCTGCAAATATTAACGCAGTGCTTACACACCGACAGTTCCTCAAAGAAATCGGGGGTGAAATGCTTATGACGGGCACCACTGTTGAACAGCTTTTCCAAGACTCTGATGTGAATGCACAAAAGATTACATCTAGATATGAAATCCCTCCGCCCGATGATTCAGTAAACACCGAGGACATTACCCTCCAGGATTGCTGGGCTCGCATCTACACTCCCCCGTCAGAGACAGATAGTGGGTCTGTGGCTGTGTTCATTCATGGTGGAGGCTGGATCATGGGAAGCCCGAATATCGAAGATGCCGCATGCCGACGGATTAGCAAGTCAAGTGGTATGAAAGTTGTTAGCATCGGATATCGACTGGCACCCAAATTCAAATTCCCTACTGGTCTCGACGACTGTGTACGAGTTACACTTTGGGTATTGGATCACTTTTCGGTACCTTCCGTGATTATCATGGGAGGCTCAGCGGGTGCTAATCTCGCTTTTGGTGTGGCACTGAAATTTGTGGATGCAGGAATTGGGGAGAAGGTGAAAGGTGTACTGGCTCTTGTGCCTGCAACCGTGCATCCCGAGGCTGTTCCAGAAGACAAAAGGGATCAGTACACTGCTCTGCATGAAAATGCTAATAATACTGTCAACACTTTGGCTTCAATGGGTTGCTTCTTGGACGCCTATGCAGCGCCACCGCACGACAAGTATTTCTCGGTTCTTCTTCATCCTCGTCTGAGAGATTTGAAAAAGGTTTACATTGTCGAATGTGGAACTGACACTCTGAGAGATGATGCACGATTGATGGGAGAAGCGTTGAAGGAGTCTGGTGTGCCTCTTATGTATGACGCCTATCCTGGCTACCCTCACTACTTCTGGTCGAATCCATCTCCAGTGTTAGCGGAGGCTTCCAAGACTTTCCATGAGAACATGTTCCGAGCGCTAGCATGGCTTGATCACGAATGAAACTTGCAAGGAGGTGGGGGCATTACTGGTGAATGGATATAATTGCCTAATTTTGTTTACTAGACACTAGGGATTGATATTCTGTTGTTCCATATTTAAGTCAGAAGAATATGCTGCTAGAAGACGATATTGAATCTTACGACACTGTTTAGATTGGAAAACCAGCAAAACAGAAAAGCTTGTAAGGTGCGTAGCACAAAAGCTATTAAATAGCCACTACCCTTCACTATGGATACCAAAGTTGGATACCGATGTTCAGTTTGGGTCCTTTGATGGAGATCTTCAGAGAGCCGATCACCTGCACATCTCGCCCGCTCTATCCAAACTATTTTGCCGCAGATCGTGATCCAAGATTTTACCTATAATTCGGATTGCTAGGACAAAGAACCTCAGAAGGAATCTATATGTCAGACCAAGCATCGTTTTTTGGTATATTTGTGAGGTTCAACCAAGCGCACTAGCAGCGCCAAAGACGTGAAGCCACGAGACGCGATCAGCCGTCTTATCAACTAGAGTGAGACCACTTCGAATTTTGAACCTTCAGTAAACATTTCAGCGCATTGGCCTCTCCCTCCAATTTGGAGACTCGCATTTTTAACGCATCCCGCTCCTGCTTGAAGACATCCAATTCTGCTTCCAATTCATGGGTACGATCAACACGACGTTGGCGATACCGCCGGGCAGCCAGCGTGTTGAGCCTTCTTCTAGATGCTCGGTCGGATGAGTCCTTCGATAATTCGCTCGGCGATGAGCTGGCCGAGGGTGAGGGAGTAGGCGGCGCTGTGGATGAGTCGGAGGCATTCAGGTTGTCTCGTGGGGTTAACCCAGATGGGGTGACGAACGTTAAGTTCTTCTGGAGAAAAATCAGGTCCGATATCAGGCAAGGCATCCAGGTTGGAGGGGGACAAAGGCTGGGTGCATGTAGCAGCATCCCAATCTAGGAGAGTGCGGTCGGGAAATGTTGGATCGGGCGGTGGTGCGCGGAAGGTGAACCGGTTCTCTGAAGGAGGGGGTACGGAGTAGGATACTATGGGTAGTGTTGACCAACCATAGGAATCGTGGAATAAAAGGCCATTGCTTCGGTCGGGGTGCTGAGAGTTGGATGCGTCGGGCAACTGCGAAGGCGATCTCACCGACGTGAGGGATGCCGCACCCGATGGAAGTATCCACTCCTACTGCTGTTTCGACAGAGTGCGGAAGTGGCGCTGTAGCCCTTGATGGTCCAAGCGCTTCCAACAACCCAAACGAAAATGGTCGAAGAAGATGTAGGGTGAGTAATTGTGAGTGATCATTAATATATGCCAGAATATGCGGTTGGATCTAGTGTATGATATACAAGTAGCCGATGAAGGAGGCTTGTAGTAACTGTAATTGCGGCGGGTTGGCGTTGCAGACCCCCCGGCATAGTCGAAGACTGTCCAGTATATCCATCTGTCTCCAGATTTGCCGAAGAATGGCTCCTTCAGAAAGCATCATTACTTAGAAATAACCAGTGCTGTTGAGCAATTTACCACACTGAACTTTCTTTCATCCTGAGCCATAAACCACCTTTCATACAACTACTTCTTTCGCTAGATCCAGCCCCTCCCTGAGAATACAACAAGGTATTTATATAATGTTGAGACATTCACTGCAGCCAGGCAGCTGTCAGCTGATCCTTCGCCTTTCTTCCTGCGTGGTCTCCGACCACCTCTTCCAACCACCAACCATCTTCTTGAGATCTAGATAGATCAAATCCATATCCTTGACCCTTCGTCTTGACATATTATTTACAAAGCAAGCCAATACCAGACAGACAAAGATACCACCATCTTGATAATGCCAGCGACTAGGAGGACCCCCTGGCCGCCTCAGGGGATTTATAGCTCTCGCTGAGACTGCTGGATGGAAGAACGGTCCGGCAACCATGCACCCCAATGGAATGCGTCTCCAGGAACTAAGCAACAGGTTCCAGCATATATTGAGATGAAAGGGCCAGAAAAATCACCCCAGCATTCTTCAAGTGTTTGGAAACTACGAAACACACCTACAGCTTATTGTGATTTACCAGACCCATCGTGTGAAACTCCAGACTTTCTGATCCAAGACCTGAAATACAAGCTTAAGCTGGCAGACAAAGATTATATTCAGTAACTCTGTGGCTACAGCCTTACAAGCAATATTCCATCTGCCATAAATCATACAAACAATGGAATGGTACAAGAAATGCTTAATAGCCTTAGCCAAGCCGTTTGGATTACTCCCTGTTATTCTGGACTTCTTCGCACTACTAAAGGAGAAAGCCGGGGAAGGCCTTGGTTGGTTACACGGGCTAAATCTTGCTACCTTGACTATCAAAAAGCCCCTGCGACAAGGGCGCGTTATACCTAGAGAGGTCAATGATAGAGAGGTCGTTCGATAATGTCTCCTATGCAAAATGTTGTTAACCAACTATCGCAAGCATAGCCACATCTTCGAACTCTTCAGTTCGAAAATCTACTAAACAAGCTGATTCGTTCCCTATAATGACTGCGTACAGCGAGTCGGGAAGATATGGACACACGCCTTCCACATTTCCAATATCATTTCTCGAAATACTAAAGTATAGTATGAATTCGTCGCCTATTCATCAATGTGATCGGCATAGCTCATAATTTCAACGGTAGTTGGTCTTGGTCCACGGTCTGATAGCCGTGCAACTTCTAAAGAACCTGTATGCCTATCGGACGAATGATGGTCAGACCATTCGTCCAAGGGCTGTCATGGTTATTTCGCCCTAGGCGGGTCAGCGAGCTTTGGTCGGAAAGCTCATGCGTGGGGGTGCTGTTTAGTTATAGGATAGACTTACTTATTATTGATATATCCTGGAGTTAAGAAGCTCACATGGTCATCTTCATGCTGACGAAGGTGGCGGAAATGCCAGCAGTGTTGGTTTCATTGCTGACTAGCACCGGGTCCATGTCGGATTCAGCCTCGCACGCGATATCCTAGTCATTGTTGGGAATCTCGGGTTTTTAAGCCCAAGAAGAGACACTGCGTACGATATGCTAGGTCCTAAGATGAATGGGTCAGATTTCTGGTTAATCTTCTTTATGACGTGAGCCATCGAAGTCAGAGGACATGGTCTAGCGCTTGGTTTAACGGTCCAAGGGAACAAGATTACCTGTTTACCGGTATGCCCCAGCGCAAATTGCAGAATTAATCGATATACGATGACAATGGCATTCGGCCGCGCTCCCTAGCGACCTACCAGTTTTTCTTGGGCTCACAATTTCTCGGATCCCCTTCTCGAGAGCGTCGTCCGAGATGCCTTATTTCGCACTGTTCCTAATATCGAAGAACAATCGGAGCCATCTCCACAGAAGCCACAGGGAAACTTCCCCGATGGCCTGGCTCAGATCTAATGGCTCTGGAAGAAGTCACGCTACTTTCTTCCTGCCGGTCAGCAAACCAACCAAGGGACATCGAAGGAGATGTCAGCATGGTGGATGTTAATATAAACGAATTCGCACGGATAACATTTATCCAGCTAATATCCACATCAAGCAAACCACCATGGAAACATCCAATACTCAAAGACCTACATGACAATCAATTGACTCACCCTCCAGGAGCGCCCGCCCACTTCCTTCCGGATGTTCTACTACACCTTATACAACATGCCGACCGTGCAAAGTGCATGGGAAATATATCAACCGAGATCCAGCGATACCATTATCACCCATATGCGTACTAAATATAGACAAGGTGATAACCTCGACTCCATTACCGTTGAGAAACTTGACAGCCAGTCTAGGGTCAGCGGGGCTTATGAGGAATTGGATTACAAGCCCAGCAAGGTACCAGCTCACAATACAAAGGAGTATTTGATTGCTCGGTGTGGACAAAAGCGACAGTGACGATTAGTCCAGTGACGACCAACGAGACGGTCGGTAGTCTACCTACCTAGAATAATTTAGAACATGTGTGTACCGCAGGTAACGAAGAGCTACCAGACATGGATTACTGTCTAGGAAAAGGAATACTTGAATATGTTTTGGAGAATAGTTCAAGATCCGGTTCAAAACCTAGGATATGTCAATAAGGTTGGGGGATTCTGGGATAAGGGGTCGCGGAAAGACAAGCAATAAAATGGTGAAATATCACAAAGAAAGAAAATATACAGCCTAGATTGGTCATGAAAATCATCTAGGGAATCATTGCAGTTGGAAGTATTAAGCTTAAACCAATAAAATTCCTGGTCTATTATATCCTAATCCTTATAGTAATGTGCTGATAAGATAAAGCTACGAACACTAAGCAAAGAACCACCCAGTCCCTGCACTAGTCTCTAATTTCAAGGAAAGTAGTAGCAATCAAGCTTTTATTCGGGGATTAGTTAATCACTAGTATGACATAGGGTTTAGCACTAATTCCTCATAATGGTGATCAATATGAACTGGGATAGTTCAGATATGATTTTATGCCAAAGGCGAACATTATACTCTTAGCGGGTATAACAGCAAATAATATATATCTCCGTCAACACTAGGTTCATCAGATGGGGGAGTAGATGATGGCTCAATCCCATGGGAAAGCCGTCCACTTTCAAAGTGTCTTGAAGATCTGTGAGTCTCAATTGAAAAATAAAATGAAAATAAAGGGCGGAACAGCATCATGGTCACATGTGGTGATCCGCAAACCACATGGTTGAGCGATCATGGAGCTTAATTTGAAGCTCCCGTGGAACCGTCCCGAGTGGAGAAAGTAAACGGAAAAACAAAAAAACGTCAGCGACAGGACTCGAACCTGTGCGGGCGAACCCAATAGATTTCTAGTCTATCGCCTTAACCACTCGGCCACACTGACTATTTGATGAAAGATGCAGCACTAAGCTGAAATATATTCCACATCAATGCTGCCTCCCATAGGCAGCCCAATGCTTCACCGGCACCCCATACGGAAGATCAAGGATAGCGCCTACAGTATTAATCTGATAAACTTGGTATCTGCTCGAAAGCAACGAAATTGATAGAATGTCCTGGTACTAGATGCTCCCATACTGAGGTAATCAACCAGCCAGACGCCGCGCTGTCAAAGTAACATTCATAAACCCGGTTCATCCCATTCCATCCATTCGTCACCCGCACCAGGGGCGCCAGGGGAATCAAATCCAAATCGCATCAATCAGAACCCATCCGGCCCTCACATGCCAATTTTTTATCAAGACCAGGTGTCCGAAGTTCGAAAACAAACAAAAAAAAAGAAATTCCCGCGTTCCCTCAAACATCGCGTCAATCCCAGAAGTGTCGCGTGGTCTCGTCAGTCCGCCGAAGCGCGCATACATATTCATACAATACAGAAGCCGCACATAAGAAATAATGGTACAGACGAAGGATCGCTCAATCATCAGCAAAGAATGAAGAAAAGAAAAAAGACAATCAAGTCAAAGCAATAAAAGCAAAATGCAATGGTGGGGGGGGCAATGTATCCACCCCATCAGCGGGCGAACTCGGTCCACACCGTGCTGAGCCACCCGACCGGAACACCGACCTCCGACGGCGTCATCGCCGGCAGCTGGTCGTATTCACATCCCTCCAAGAACGCCAGCACATCATCTCCGCCCAGGCTGGTCGACCACAGCCCGTTGGTGTTGACCGTGTCAAGACCATCAACTGTTACCGGCGGTGACGCTCCCGGGTGGCCGACTGAGCCAGGTGGGGGCAGCAATGGCAAGCTGTGTGAAGTAGCCGCATTGATGGGCGGCAGTGACTGCGAATATGGCGGGGGAGGCTGCTGACGATTGTTCAGCCATGAATTGAGGGGCTGCAAACGGTTGTTGGGCGGCGGTGCCCCATACTGTGAGGACGCTGTTGCCGTCGTTGTTGGCGGGGCCCCGTATGGGCCTGGGGGTCCCAGCGATGGCAGATTGGGGGAGGAGGAGTTGTATAACCCAGCGTCAGGATGGTGCTGGAGAGAGGGTAGAGAGTACGGAGATTGGGACTGCAGGGAGCGGCCTGGGGGTAGAGGCAGACTAGGCCGTCGCTCTCCATCCGGTCCAGGAAGCGGCATACCAGGGCTATTGATGGGAACCCAAGACTCACGTCGTCCGCCAGCACCGTCCAGTGGAGGCTCGCCTGTGTCTCCAGTTTCGCTGCGAACAGCATTGCTGCCTGCATCGCTCAGGTTGGTCGCACGATCGCTGACTGCTGCCAGGCCATCATCCTCCGCTGTGTTATCAGGCAGTTGGTCTTCGATGATACCGAACTCCAAGAACAACTTCTCCAATAGCTTGAATTCCTCAAGACCCCCACCAGCTCCGCCTTCACGCACTGGACGAACCCCGTTCATATGCACATCGACGCCATCCATGTCCATCTTCCGAGAAGATCGCCGGAAATCGCGCTTGACCTTGGCGAAATAACTATGCAGCCGGTTGAGGGTGCGGAACCATCCCCGCGCCATCTTCAGACGCAGCCGCATGTCGCGCAGGATGTCAAGGGCGTTACGAGCTTGTGCCTGACCTTGAGTGGTACGATCTCTCGGAGCCAAAGCGCCCTCCGGATCCATATGAGGGAAATGGGCTGCATACACACCGATAAAGGCGGCGTTATAGACAGCAAAGCCGACGAGAGGGTTTTCAACCAGGACGCCGCGGTCTTGGCAGGTTACCGCCAGATCAATCATCTGTCGGGCGGCATTGAAGAGCTCTCGAGCGCTCTCACGCCAGAAAGCCTCTGCCACACCGGGCTTTTCCACGGGGAATAGGGGCTCGTCCAAGGGTCCAACAGGCTCCGAGCATCGTACAGGAAGGAACGGGATATACGCACGATGAAGGACGATGACCGACAGGAAATAGACCACGTGCATGACCGTATACGGGGAGAGGGTATTCTTATACATGATGTGCGTATCCGTGTTCCGTGGAGAGTACTGCAAGTTGCGTGAAAGGCTATCCTGGAACTCGCCCAGCATCGCTCGAAGCTGGGAGAAACGCGAGTCTGGGTGCCATGGGGGCAACTGTTCGTTCCTGTAGTTGTGTGTTAGACCCTCGACGGGGACCATCATTGAAGAGCGGCAGCTTACCTTCGCCCCCCAGCGCACGACCACTTGGCAATGCTTCCCCAAATGCGAATGATACGAATCACCCGACTGAGCACAGATTCCTCGGCACCAACCTCCCATCGATCAATTTCATCCTCACTCGAATCCTTACGGCGCGAGACAGGTGACCAGGAAGACTTGGGATCGGGAGCGCCATTACTGGGTAAGCGGTCGTCACCGAGAGCACCCAGACTCTGCCGGATGCTCGGAATCTGGACGCCCTGGGACCCGAACGATTGTGGGCGGCGTGCAGCCGGCTCACTGAGACGGGAGGTGCGGACCCGTTCTCCAAATGCAAAGGCGTTATCGCTGGGAAGCTGGATACCCAGCTCCTTGACGCGGATCATACGAGGTCGATATTTGCCGCTGCTCAAGCAACGGTCCAAAATGAAGCACGCCCAGAATGTACGACGCTTCGTCTCTAGCGCTATGATATCATCCGAAGTCTGTTCTCTGGGCTCCACCGGCCGACGGGGCAGACCAAAGATCTCGGACTCCATCTTCAGTACGGGGGACCGGGGCCCCTCGCGGGACGCCATCTCATTTTCCAGCTCGAAGGGAAGGCCCATGGCTTGGGATAGCCGGATGGCCATTCCGACATACAACCATGCGCTCTTGCCACGGCACATGCCCCATTCATGCAGCGCCAGCATGAGCAATGCTTGGACCCGGGTGAGGTCCGTGACTGCGAGACTAGCGCCGTCGACGCCGGCCAGCCGGCTACGCAACGCCGTCGCATAGAATTCCGAAGCGACAAGCGGATTGGACGGGTTTCCAGGGGACGGTGGAGAGTGGAAAGCGACCAGCTGGGGATGGAAACGGGCGGTGAGTGCGAGGACACCGAGGGGAATGAGCGGATTGGGATCCGGCTTGCTTGCAGGCGGACTTTGCGCGGGATCGCGCGAGGGTTCTGAATTTGTGGACGGATTGGTCGAGGGGGTGGAGAGTTGGCGCGTTTGACCGATGAACGAGGCGGGATGCAGGAACGGAAGCATGGTCGCAAAGTGCGACTGGAAGAGATCGAAGACGGCGTCCCAGACCTTGGTGGTCAGGACTGAGGAATCGAGCACGTCGAGCGCGGATCTACCCCCATCCTTTGCGGCGGACGAGGAGATGCCGACGGCCTTCCGTGAGCGTTGTCGCTTGGGGCTATCCCAATCATTGTTTCGTTCCTCGCCCTCCGCCAGCGCGGCCAGGTCTCGCTTGGCGGCACCTCCGCCCACCCCGATGGCCGGGGCGGGATATACACATTCTCGACCGGAGGATTCACAGGCGCGGCAGGTGGTATCGATGCCGGCGTTGACGCATTTTATCTTGCTTCGACGGCAACGAGCGCAGGCGATACTGGATCGCATTGTGACGACAGAGGCGGGCGCGAGAGACGGGATGCCCGTCTCTCCGGCAGGGTAGGTGGGAAGGAGGTAGAAATCACAGGCGAAGAGGTAGGGGAAGCACAAGGAGAGAAGATGAGGAAGAGGAGGAAGAGGAGGAGGGACAAGACAGTCCCCGGGACCACTGTTGACACGAGTGGATTGTCCTCACGTCCGCCGTATTTCTCCGGTGGTTTTTCCCCGGGATTCCGAACAAGACTCCAGACGGTCTGGGTCGCAAGGGGCGACAGCGATGGTCGGCCACGGCTGTCGTATTTTTGCCGTCAGTACTCGTACCACCCCGGCTAACAAAGAACAGAGGGAGAGGAATCGTGTGTGTCTGTATGTATGTGCGAACGGGGATCCACCCACGGGAATGACTGACCTTTATTGGGGTAAAAAATGCGATTGCTGGCCGTCGGCTTCTCTTACACCTGTTTGCCAAACAGAATAAAATAACCTGGCCACGAAGCAAGGAGGGCAGTGCAGTGACAACACCGACTAGATACCGAGGATGGTGTCGGGAGGAGGCAGACACACAGGCGCGCGCGGAGTAGCGGTAGTACAGAAGTACTGGAGGGAGAGGAAGTAGTGTGGGCGCGGCGGCAAACGGAAGGAAGAGGGAAAAACGAAAGAGGGAGGGAGTTGAGGTGGAGCGAAGGGTGGGATAATGAATAAAACACAGCCGGGGAACGGGAAAATGAAAGCCAGGGAAGCCGAATCGAAGAATGGAGAGAGGAAGGAGGATTAATTATTCAACCCACGATGTCACCAATAATGTGCGACGTGGGTAACGGGCAGAATGGAGTCCAGTCGGGTAAGAGGGTCAGGCAGAGTGGGGACTGGAGAGATTTGGGGGAGAGAGAGAGAGAGAAAAGCAGAGCAAGGTAGGGATGAAAAGCCGCCAGCCGATATCCACCATGCAGAGGGAGGAACCCAGCAGGGTTGGTTGGTTGGTTCTGGAGTAAGTACGCAGATACTCTCTGTGTGTGTGTGTGTTTGTGTGGGAGAGAAAGTTGCTCCAGGCTTTGACTAAAACTCCCCTTGAACGGAATACGCGGAGTGTGGGGGAGGCCGAAGTAGCGTGTGGCCCAGGGTCGGGGCACCGGACCGGCAACGTGAGTTTGGGGGAGAAAATCAGCCCAAAGATGTCGGGTGGATTAGGGAAGGCTAGAGAAGGGGATTTTCGGTTGTGGGGAAGGGGAGAGGGGAAGTCAGAATGCAATGACAAAGAAAGAAGAAGAAGAAGAGGGGAAGAAGGAGAGGAAATGTAGAAAAGGAAGCAGAGGAAGCTCGTGAAGAGGGAAGACGATGGGGGGGGAAGGGGAAGAACCAGAGGCAGATGGGAATGGTTGGTGAGAGCCGCCCGTCGCCTCAGGTTAGAACAGGATGACTCCGGCCGACGGCGAGAGACAGAGTTTGGGGGGAAAAAGAAAAAAAGGAAAAAGAAAAGAAAAAGCAGCCAGCAGAACGGATCGTCCCAAAAAGGCAAGGCCCATCCGCATTTGCGGAGGCCCGACCCAAGTTAGTCCGGAGCGGGTTAGTGCGGCCTGAGGATGCAAGGACGCGACCGAGCGGCCGGAGAATGGTGGAGCCAGATTCCGACTGCCGAGAGATGGAGTAGGAGGACGTAGATTGGGGAATGTGGGTGAGAAGAAGGAGAAAAGAGAAGGAAAGTCGAAAAGGAAGAGAAGTAAATAGGCAGTAAATTAAATACGAATCAATAACTGCTGGGATGTTTGATGATGAAATTCGATGGGTGGTCAGATGGGAAAAAAAGGGGGGGGAGAGAGAGAGAGAGACAGAGG